AGTAAAAAAGAAACATCAACCCTACTGTTTTTCTTCCATGAATGAATTGGCAAAAGCTCTTCCTGATGCTGGAGCATAGGAATGAACATGAGCACAGACGGGGGGGGGCAGCAGTTTTGTCATCTGAAACCAGCACAGAGGAGCAGCTGACTGTGCCCAGTCACTGTATCCATCCTGGAACACTCCCTCACCCCCTCCCTGAGCCATCCCTGCCTGCACAGGAGCTGTACCTGCAGCCAGAAGGCAGCACACTCCAGCACAGGAACCCTGCACACAGCCACTGCCATGGACACCAGCTTCCCCAGCAGGGCCATCCTGCTGTCATCTGCCTTGTTCCCTTGGGGGCTGAACAGAGATGAAAAGATGATCTGCCGGACTGAGTCCTTGGTCTGCTCTTGGAAATAATTGCACATGATCTCAAGGAGCTGGAGTTCCTGAAGGGAGTTCAGTCTCTGAAAGAAAACAAAAGCAAAGCTGCAAAATACACTGGGGGTCTTGAAAAAGCAAGAAACAAGTGGAAAAGACAGGGGCAATAAAGGCTGGGAGCCTCCCTCAGGTGTGAGGGACTCAGTCTTCAAGCACAGCACACACATTCAAACTTTCTGAGCCACCACTGCATTTACCTGGTGACACTGAAAAGCTTTAGGTTGTATTTGAACACCTGGATACAAAAGACTGGTGCTTGCTGCACCTGCAAGTGCTGCCCACAGACTGGAATTGCTGGGGTGAAAAATATTCCCTCCCTCTGCAAATAACAACTCTGAAGACACTGCTGGGCAGCTGGCAGGGACACAGCTGGGCCCAGGAGCCCACCAGGCCCCAGGTCCATGCACCCCAATACTCACCAGCAGCTGTGGTTTCTCACTGCTGATCTCTGAGACCCCCAACCCAGCTCCATCCCATGCCCACCAAAAAGCCTGGTAGGGCCCAGCTGCAGCACTGGGGGGCTGTGGGTGTTCCCAGGGCCCTCAAAGCCCACCACAGCTCCTGAGAGCCCTGAATCCTGGCCAGCCCATGGGGGTCTTGTCAGCTAGCCCCATCCCTGCCAAAAACCCCCTCAGTCACCAGCACCCCAGGGAGCCTGTGCTGTCCTTTTGGGGCCTGTCTTCAGCAGCAGCTCCTCAGGGACTTCATCCCTTTCTTCCAAAGCCTTAGTCTCCAGCAACAGCCCCCCAGGGACCTAATCCTGCCCTTCCAAGGCTTTGGTCTCCAGCAGCAGTTCCTCAGGGACCTCATCCTGTTCTTCCAAGCCCTCGATCTTCAGCAGCAGCTCTTCAGGGACCCCATCCTGCCCTTCCAAGCCCCTGGTTTCCAGCAACAGCCCCTCAGGGACCTCATCCTGCCCTTCCAAGGCTTTGGCCTCCAGCAGCAGCTCTTCAGGGCTCCCACCTTGCCCTTCCAATCCCTCGGCCTCCAGCAGCAGCCCCCGCCCCTGGGACCCTCATGGTGCAGCGGCAGCCCCGTCCAAGGCTCTGGGGGCCTCCCCTCTACACCCACTGCCCAGGGCTGTGTCCGCCCTCAGCCCCGGGCTGTGCCGGGGTGCCCGTGTCGCACCTTGGGCGGCGCCCCGCGCTCCTTGGGGACCTGGAAGAGGAACTCCTCGAGCAGCTCGGTGGGGCCCTTGTCCACGAGCGGCAGCGGCGCGTTCTGCAGCTGGCTGCTGAAGTAGATGTCCAGGTGGTACAGCACCTCCTTGGCGGCGCTCAGCGCGTCCCGCCGCAGCAGCGAGTGCCGGATGTCGCTCATGGCCCCGTTCCCGCTCCCGGTCCCGTTCCGGTCCCGTTCCCGGCCCGGCCCCGGCGCGGCCTCCCCTCGGCGGCGCGGACGGCGGGGGCGGGCGCTACGGCGGCCCGCGAAGGACAAAAGGGCTGCGCGCGGGCGGCCGCCGGCAGCGCCCCTGGCGGGAGGGGGGGGCTGGGGCTGGGGCTGGGGCTGGGGGGCTCGACCGGGACAGACCCGGCCCTTGGGGGGTCTTGGCTCGGGGTCCTGAGCCGGGAGAGGCTGGACCTTGGAAGGATCTTGGCTCTCGAGGATGTTGGCCCGGGAGCCTGGTCTTGGGGCTGAACCATGGAGTCTCGACCTGGGGGGACCTGGGGGGGAATATCGGCCCAGTCCTTGGGCTGACTCAGGAGGTCTCTTAACTTGGGAATGAACTGGCCCTGGGGGCATCTTGGCCCTGGAGAGATGAGCCCTGGGGCTGAGCCAGGGGGGATATTGGCCCCGGGGGGGCCTGGGGCTGAGCCAGGAGGTCTTGACCTGGACCTGGGGGGATATTGGCCCCGGGGGGGGGGGGGGGCTGTGCTGGAGCCGAGCCAGGAGGTCTCAACCTGGACCTGGGGGGATATTGGCCCTGGGGGATATCAGCCTTCGGAGCTGGGCCTGGGGCTGACTCAGGAGGTCTCTTAATTTGGGAGGGAAATGGCCCTGGGGGCATTTTGTCCCTGAGCGATGAGCCAGGGGGGATTTTGGCTCCAGCAGGGGGGCTGGAGCTGGGACTCATTCAGGGGGAGGGAATTGAACCTGGAGGGATCCTGGCTCTGGAAGGGTCTTGAGGGGCTCTGGAAGGGTCTGAGGGGCTCAGCCAAGGGATCTTAATTTCGGGGGGTAGGACCTGGGGGTGTGTTGTCCCTGGAGTGATGGGCCTGGGGCTGACTCAGGGGGTCTTGACTCAGGATGGATCTGGCCCTGGGAAAGGTCTTGGCCCTGGAGAGATCTTGGGGCTGAGCCAGGGGGGCTCGACCTGGGGGGGAGCCTAGACCTGGGGAGGTCTTGGACCTGGAGGGCTGGGCCTGGGGCTGATTCAGGAGGGAACTGACCCTGGGGGGATCTTGGCCCAGGGGGGTCTTGGTCCTGGGTCTGGTTCTTGAGTGGGTCTTGACCTGAAGAGGGACTGGCCATGGAGGGTCTTGGCTGGGGGAGCCTGGCCCTGGGCCCAACCTGGGGAGCCTGTTGGGGTCTAGGCTGAGCCCTAATCCCTCTATGGGAAGCCCCCCTTCTCTGGGGTGTGCCTGGCTCCAGGAGAGGGGGCTGGCAGGGGCCCCCCCAGCCCCTCAGGATCACTGCACACTTCTAGGGGCCTGGCATGGCCCTCCTGGGAAACCCAACATCTGCCTTTGGAGGCTGGGTGCACTGGGAACACCGGGAACACCAGGACATTGGCCAAGGCCACTGAGGCAGAGCTGGGGTGAGCAGGGGCAGTGGGTGGGGTGGGGGGGCTGCTACCCCCTGGCACCTCACAGCCCTCCCAGGGATGGGGCTGAGCCGTAGGACCGCCTGGGGAGGCTCTGGGGACAGGCACCATGCCAGGGATGTGGTGCTTTTTGGCAGTTCCAGCTTGGCTTCCCACCCAGAGACCAGAGTGGCAGCACCACACTGGGATGCACTGGATACCCTCAGCCCCTGGCACCGGGTTCCTGCTGGCCCTGGAACACCCACCTTGTTGGAAATGTAGGGGTGGAAATGTGCTGGGTGGGAACTATTCATGTTTGTGAAATAAACATTTTTTAAGAGAAATTGTGTCTGTTGATGAGTGAGAGCTGCCCATGTCCCACATCGGGGAGCTGCCACTCTCCAGGAGTGGTCTCTGGGATCTCTTGGCATTTTAATCCACTCCAGCACGTTCTCAGCCTTACCTATGACAGGAGGTATTGGCAGTGGCTGAAAGGGCTCTTTTTGCACTGAGCAGACCTTTATTTCCGTGAAAAATGCCATATGGAGCCTGCGGCCTCACATGTTCCTTGGCCGGGCAACCACTTGGCAAGGTGAACATGTCCCTCCCCATAAATGCAGGTGCAGATCCTTCCCCTTCCAGACTCCTTGGATGACACCAAAGGTATGTCCTGCTCCCCTCTCCTCCCTTGCCACAGGAGCTCCCCAGTGCCACCTTCTCCAGCTCAGCCTAATTTTGCCAAGATGCTCTGCCAGGGCTGAGCCTGGGCACAGCTCAGGGTCCTCGTAGGTGTCTCTGCCTGGGAGGTGCAGAGGCTGCTGTGCCCCCTGGGGAGTGGGGAGGATTTGTGGGGCTTTGGGCAATTTTTGGCATGACCAAATTGTGGCATTACTGAATCTCTGTGTTACCAGCCGGGGGAACTGCAGTGCTGGAGGGAAGTGTTTGCAGCCACAGCGAGGGTGCGAGTGGGAAAGGTGAGGGTTTAGCCGGAGCAGCTTCCCCAGAAGGAAATCAAGCCCTGAGGCAGCAAAACCTTCCTGGTGCTGGAATTTGTTGTGCCAAAGGCTGGTGTGTTTGCCTGTCCTCTCAGTCCGTCTTATCAGGTTCCTGCTTGGGGCACCTGGGCTTGGGCAGGGCTCAGATCCCACACACTGGTGAAATATTACCCCAGGGAGCGGAGTGCCACGGGAATACTTCCCAAAAGCCTTCCCCCGTGGGTGGGAGCTGCTGTGCTGCCTCGGCGAGGGGTCCTGAGGGACAACAGCGTGGGTGAGGATGGGGCAGGGGCAGTGCTGGGAAATGGGGGTATGGGGGGCAGGATACCCCAGGTGAGGATGTTCCAGGCGGGAAGGGAGATGGGGAGGAGTGCTGGGGGGCATCCATCCCTTCCTCTGTCCTAGCACAGCTGCTGAAGGGTCTCTGGGGTCTCTGGCACAGATGCAAGGAGAGGTGGGAGAGGCACAAGCCAAAGGACTTTAGTGTCCCTGGCCACTGCCACCCACCCCAGGCCAGGAGAGGTGTCCGAGCTGAGCACGGTGAATGAGGAAGGGACCGTTCTGTGTCACCATGAAATGACATTTACTCTTTTGCCAGTGAATTTTCCTCTCTGGCCTCGTGAGTGGTCTGGCCTCCCTCCAGGAGGGACAGGCAGGATGAGGCCCCACGTGATGGATGTACACAATCCCTGGATCCTCGTGGTTCACTGGAAAACAGATGCTTCTCAGTGAAACCAGTATGGCCAGTGGGATTACTCTGGTCACCTCCACCACTTGTGCCAAAAGCCTATCCTATCCAGGAGGGCTGAGCCCCTCCCTGTCCCTCTGCACACAGGATGGCAGCCTCCCAGCTGGTGCTGTCCCTGCTGGCTGCAGCTCTCCTGCTGCACGTGGCCACCGCGCTGAAGGTCGGCGCCTTCAACATCAAGGCCTTTGGGGACACCAAGATGTCCAACCAGACCGTGGCAAACATCATCGTCTCTGTGAGTGCAGGGGAGAGGAGCAGCCCTGGACACTCTCTGCTCTCTGGGAGGCAGTGACCCTGGGACAGTGGGACACCAGCTTTCTGTAGGCATCCATCCATCCATCCATCCAAACCTCCCTTCACTCACCCATCTGCTCATCCCTCGTCACCATCTCCCACCTCAGGCCATCTCCACTCTTGCTGATGCCCAATCCAGAGTGGGCAATGCTTGGTGCTGCCCAGGTTCCCCCCTCGGAGCAGCTGCTGGGATGATGGTAGTAGACAGATGGGTCTGTGTGATCCCAGGGTCCTTCCAAGGCAGAGAAGACCAGCAGAGGAGCCCCTTCCCTGGGACAGTGAGGGAGGTGGGGAGGGGTGTCAGGGGGAATCCATCCCTTGCTCTGATCCAGCACAGCTGCTGTAGGGTCTTTGGCATTTCTGGTGCAGACCCAGGGAGGGGTGGGAAAGGCCCTGCTGCCTCCCACTGCCAGCCTGGGAGCCTCTGCAGCCCAGCTGAGGCACCCATGGGTGTTCCATGAGCAGCTCTCGGCCAGGGAAGAGCAGCTCTGAGCTTGTCCCCCCAGATCCTGTCGGAGTACGACATCATCCTGGTGCAGGAGGTCCGGGATGCCGACCTGAGTGCCGTGGACAAGCTCATGGACCAGCTCAACAGGTGACCCTGATGGCACAGTGTGAGGGTGACTGCAAATGGGATGCTGGGCTGGATCCCAGCTGGCATCTCACCATGCCAAGGCACCCTGGCTCAGCTGGAGAGAGCCTGATGGGTGCTGGGGAGCACCAGGAGCCTCCTCTCACCCTCTCCACATCTCCCCCCCAGTGCTTCTGGGCAGCCCTACAGCTTTTTGGTCAGCATCCCCCTGGGTCGGACCAGCTACAAGGAGCAGTACCTCTTTGTCTACAGGTAAGGGATGTCACCAGGGTCCAGTGTCCCCTGTGTCACCTGCTGCCCTCCCCAGCAACCCCCAAAGGGCAATGGGTACCTTTAGAGGTCCTGTCTGTGCCAGGAGCTGTGCTGGGGGCTGCCCTGCTCTCCTCCCTCAGGTCGGACATGGTCTCTGTGCTGGGAAGTTACTACTACGACGATGGCTGCGAGTCCTGTGGGAACGACACCTTCAGCAGGGAGCCCTTCATTGTGAAGTTCTCCTCGCCCACCACACGTGAGCAGAGCTGCTGTTGGGGGATGCCAGACCTGGCACAGGGTCCCCTCCACAGAGTGCTAAGCCCAGAGCTATGCCTGCCAACTGGGCTCCACAAGGGTCCTTTAGTGCAGTGGGACCATCTCCCACCCGTGGGTGCCCAGGGGTCCCACATACCTGCTCAGCATGGCTGGCACTGCCTGCTCTTTCCCACCATGTGCCATCTCCTGTCAATTCCCATCACATCCCGTTGTCTGTCATTTCCCACCATGTGTTCTGTTCAGTTGTGTGCCATTTCACATCTCCAGCTGCTTCCCATCGTGTCCTGCATCCCATTATTTGCTACCTCCCATCTTGTGCCATATCCCGCCATCTGCTTCCTCCTCTTGGGTTCCATCTCCCTCATGTACCATCTCTGTACCATTGCCTGTCATCCCCCATCTCTGCCATCTCCCATCATGTCCCATTTCCCACCTTGTTCCATCACCTACCCCCTGCCATCACCTCCACCTCCTTAGAACCTCCTCAGGGCACATACACTCTCCCATCTCTCCCACCTCCATCTCCTTCCCCAAACCATGGTGGCTTGGAAAAGCTGACAGGAAACAAGCAGCAAACCCTGTGCAAATGGATGCAGTTCCCCACAGGAAATTCCAGTCTGGAGGACACACACACCACCACAGACACCCTTTCCCTGCAGCAGCTTTTCCCAGCTGGTAGCTGGGGCTTGGCCGGGGGTGGTCCCTGTCGTTCCTGCTCCCTTCTCAGTTGCTGCAGCTGAGGTGAGGGCTGACAACCACCTGTGTGGCAGAGGTTCAGGAGTTCGTGTTGGTGCCCCTGCATTCCGAGCCCAGCCATGCAGCGGAAGAGATCGACGCGCTCTACGACGTCTACACCGACGTCATCAACAAGTGGGGGACTAATGTAAGCAATGGCAGTGAGCTCAGCTCCTCTCTGAGGGCAGCTGAGTGGGCAAGTGGATGGACTTGTCCCATGGGAGGCCTCTTGTACCCATTAGAGCAGGTGCCACCCCAGCAATCTCCAGGCAGGGAGCTGCAGGTTGTCTCCGCTGTCTCCCCGTGCACTGCAGTGCCCCAGGGGGGTTTGTCGCCACCCTTTAAGAAATTAGGGAGCCCCTGCTGACCCGTAAGGTCCATGGGCAGGGACACAACACGCTGCCCTGCAGGACATCATCTTGCTGGGTGACTTCAACGCCGACTGTGCCTACGTGACCAGCTCGCAGTGGCCGTCCATCCGCCTGCGCTCCCTGCGCGCCTGCGAGTGGCTCATCTCCGACAGCGCCGACACCACCGTGGCCGACACCAAACTGTTGCCTACGCGGTGGGTGCCCTGGTAGGGGGCAGTGGCTGGCACGGGGGGGCTGGCAGGCACTCACACCCTCGTGCTGCCCCGGCAGCATCGTCGCCTGCGGCACCGCCCTGCGCCAAGACATCGATCCCGGCTCCGCCACCGTCAACAACTTCGAGCAGAAATTCCACCTCCAGAGGAAGGATGTGAGTGAGGGGCCAGGGCACATGGGCCCACCAGCAGTGGGATCCACCCCATCATACCTCCTGGGAGTGTGGGTGGGCTCCTTGTTCCTCAAGGCGCACCCCAGGGTGGCCCAACCCCAAGTCTTGCACTGAATCAACCCCCCAGACTGAGCAGTTTGGGATATGGTCTAAATTTGGGGGTTGGAGAGGAGTGTTGGGGTCTCAGCCAGCCATCCCAGTGTCTGGATGAGCTCAGGCCCTCTCTGCTCTCTCCCATACCCAGGCTTTGGCCGTCAGTGACCATTTCCCTGTGGAGGTGACCCTGAAAGCCCGCTGAGCCTGTCCCTGTGCCGGTGGCTACCAGGACATCCCGGCGTGCACCTGCAGCCTTTGTGGAAGCCCACATGCCACAAGTGCCAGCCAAGCTGCCCACTGTCTCTGCAAGGAGCCACTCTTTTGGATCTTGTGGGAGTGGGATGCTCTCTGCTTCCATTAAAAATGAGCCTCTTCCAGCCTTTGCAACTCTGGAGGGAAGGTCCCTTTAGTCTCCCCAGCAGCCCCTGGCATTCAAGTCCCCCATCCCCTGCCAGGGAGGTCTCCGGGGCTGGGGGACCCTCCTGCCATGGAGACACCTGGACCCACGGGGTGGCAAGCACTACTTCCCTTTCTGCAGCAAAAGCAGGGACACCGGGAAGAGCCTGGGAGGCTCCAGGCTTTCCAGGTGCTCTTGCCATTTATCCTGACAGAGCCCGCCTGTATGGATGGCTGACGGGGGACACTGACAGTGAGAGTGGGGGGAAGTGGAGGATGTGAGTCAGTTCCCAGGGGGTTTGGTGCTTCCCAGGGGACTTTTGGGGTTTCGGTGCTGACACAGCACTGAGGGACACTGGACTCATCCCGAGACTGGGTGTGAGGATGCAAAACCTGGTGTCACATGTGAGAGCCCGGCAAGTCCCGGCATGGGCTGCTGCTGTCTCCCTGCCTGTCAGAGCCTCCTGATCCTTCATCACCCCGGGGTGATGCTGGGGGCTGGCACGGGAAATGCCACTCCTCCTGGGCTGCTTTGGGTCACCGGTGGGGCTGCTTTGGGTCACCAGCAGGGCTGTTGTGAGTGACTGCCAGGGCTGCTGCAAGGGGGTGCAGCTGGGGCTGGCGGTGCTCACCTGGTGCTCACCTGCCTGACCCAAACACAGGCCATTTCCTCCTCTTCCCTCTAATTACACTGTCTGAATCACCTAATTAAGGTCAGTGCCCTTCACCTCCTGCCTGGCCACTGTGCCCACTCTGTGATCTGGGAGGCCACCCCAGTTGGCTGCAGCCCCCCGAGTCCCACGTGCCCACCCATTCCCACTGGGATGCTCCAGCCCTGTCAAGCCTCCAGGGCTGCCCTTTGCTGTGTCAGCACAGAGGAGGCTGTGCTGGCCCCACCCTGTCATCCTGTGGGATTTCTGGTTTCCCAATGCGGGAAGGAGCCCACAGTCATGCCAAAACCCCCACGGGGGTGTCCGACTCATCCTGCTTTGCCGGCAACTCCACTGGCAATAAAGCCGCCCATCCTGCTGCTGGGAGGGCAGAGGTGCTGCACACTTGGCAAGGTAAGGACAGATCCAGGCTCAGCACCTCCAGCTGTGAACCGGGAGGGACTGGGATGAGCTGCGACGAGCCGGGATGAGGAGCTGCTCCTTACCCTAACAGTGGAGGCTGTGGCAAAGTTTAAGGACATGGAACAGCCTGGGGTGCCGGCAGTGGTGGCTGGGGCTGGTGGATGATGGACAAATTCCAGCGGGGAGTGGAGCTGGGTGATCCTGGGAGCTGGAGGAGGTGGATTCACTGTGGTGGGATGGGATTTATCTTCTCTGGGACCAGCGAGCTGTCAGACTGCCTGTGCCAGCTCCACAGGCTGCTCGAGGCAGTGCCCATCATGATATGCTCTTGTACAGCAGGACTGAGGAAGGATCTGCATGTCCTTTTATTTTTCTACCCCAAATCCAAAGGAGTTTTCCAAGTTCAGCTCCCATCTCTGTGACTCAGCACCCCTCCCTGCAGGATGGGGACTGTGACTCTGGCATTGTCCCTGCTGGCTGTGGCTCTCCTGTGCCCGGCCACTGCCACCCTGCGCGTCGGTGCCTTCAACATCCAGGCCTTCGGTGACACCAAGATGTCCAACAAGGAGGTGGCAGAGATCATCATCAACGTGAGTGCAGCCAGCACAACGTGGGGACAGGCTGGGCACTGGGACAGCCACAAACGTGGCTCCTGTGCCAAGGACATGTGGCTGAGGATGGGATGGCATCCCAGGGCTGGGGATGCCCTGAGTGGATGAAGGCTTGGGGGGGACCATGGTAGGGCATCAGACACAGCCACAAGTCCCTCTGAGCCCCCCATGGGGACATCTGCCCTGAGACCGAGGGACATGTGGGTCCCCGCGGTGTATCCAGCACCATGCCAGGGTGCCTGGCTGGGATGTGGGTGGGAGACTGGCTCTGAGCTGGCAGCAGGTTCCCTCCCACCATCGCTGTCCCCCTTGGCCTCGCAGATCCTGCTCCGCTACGACGTGGTGCTGGTGCAGGAGGTGCGCGACTCCGACCTCAGCGCCGTCACCGAGCTCATGGAGCAGCTCAACAGGTACGAGCGGGGCTGGGGCTGGGACGGCAGCATAAGCAGGGAAAGCCAAGCTGTCTGAGCAATAAAAGGCAAAAAAAAAAAGGTCAGCCAACGGCAGAGAGGTTGTTTTTGGGAAGGGGAATAGGAGAAAAGTGCTGGGGCACTGAGCAAAAAAAGCCGCTCTAAGTAATCTGGTGAGGGGAATAGGGATACAGGTGGTAAAAATCCCTTCTGAAAGCTGTAACCCCACCTGAGCATGCAGGATGGAAAGGAACTACAGCTCTGGCAAGCTCCATCTCCAAAATCCAACAGAACAGGGCAGAGGCATGGGGGGGGATGAAGAGGGTGGGGATAGGCAGACCCTGCACCCCAAGACTCTGTAAGTGGCAGAAGGACCCTGGGACGGACCCCGTGGTGGATGATACTCTGAGGTGAGTGGCTCTGGCACCCCAGGAGGAAGAGAGGCTGCTGGGGTGGGCTAAAACTGGTCACAGCAGGGCAGCAGCCCCTCCACGGGCTGAGTGCTGACCCCATTTTGGGAAAAGGCACAGCTGAGCACCAGGAGGAAGCTGCTGCCACTGTGTTGAAAGCTGGGAGTGCTCCCGAGCAGGTCCGCCCAGCCCGTGTCCTCGCCCCTTCGGTGTCCCCTCCAGCAGGGCCACAAAGCAGCCGGGGCAGGGAGGGTGACGCTGGTGCTGCAGTGCCCCAGGCTGCTCACTGACCTAATTCAGCCCTGCTGCAAAGGGAGCTGAGGAGCGTCCCTGCAGAGAAAGGGGTGGCAGGAGCCACCCTGCGTCCTGCTGTGCTCAAGGAGCCACCCCGGGGCGGGACATGGGGGGGTTCAGAGCCACCACACCCCATGTCACCTCACGGCCAGAGCACAGTGACCCACAGGGACAGCAGAGCAGGACTGGTGGTGCCAACCCCACGGCTGCCCAGCTCCTGGACGTGCCAAGGCTAACCCAGGATGGTACCAGCCATGTCACTGGTGGCAGCCACGTCACCATCCTGCCTCTGCATCTCCACAGTGCGTCCAAGTCCCCATATGACTACGAGATCAGTGGCCCCCTGGGACGGGAGAACTACAAGGAGATGTACCTCTTCATCTACAGGTAACAGGGCTGGGGGTGCTGCCACCTGTGCCACAGCACCACAGGGACACCAGTACCATGGAGGGGACACAGAGGCCATGCTGAGCCCCAGGGTAACCATCCCTTTGCTCCCACAGGACAGATGTCGTGTCTGTGGTGGACACCTACCAGTACAAGGACCGCCAGGATGTTTTCAGCCGGGAGCCGTTCATCCTGAGGGTCTCAGCACCCCGCACCAGTAAGCAGGGGACAAGTGGCTCTGGGTGGTGGCATTGAGTGGCTGTGGGGCTGACGTTCCTCTCCCCTGGCAGAGGTGGAGGAGTTTGTGCTGGTGCCCCTGCACTCAGCCCCACACGATGCCGTCGCCGAGATCGACGCGCTCTACGACGTCTACCTGGACATTGTCAACAAGTGGGGGACTGACGGAGTGTCACAAGCATCTGGGGTGGCACCAGGGCGGGTGGCACTGAGGGTGTTGGGACCCCCATCTGGGTTCCTGCTCCAAGGCAAGTGCAGCTGCGTGCAGGGCTGCGTGGGATGGAGACCTTGTTCCTGCCCTGTCATGGCGGGATTCCCCAGCACAGGACGACCCCACGGAGGGCTGGTGTTCAGAGACAGCCCCTTCCAGACCTGACTCTCCCTCTGACCCACTGCGAACATGCATGTTCCCTGGGTGACTTCAACGCCGACCTGTGCTATGGTCCCAGCCATGGACTGGTCGTCCATCCGCCCTGCGCACCAGCGACGTCATTCAAGTGGCTGCATCCCCCGACAGCACACGACACCACCGTGGGGCAAGTCAGACGTCGTGCCTATGACAGGTGAGCACCACCCCATGCACTGCCACCCCCCTCCCCAGAACACCCCAGGGACCCCCTGCCCGCCCTGCCCTACCAGTGGCTGAGTGCAGGGGCAGGAGTGGGACCCACCATCCACATCTCCCTGGCAGGATCGTGGTGTGTGGGGCCAAGCTGAAGAGAAGCATCGTGTCCAATTCGGCTGCTATCTACGATTTCCAGCGTGCTTTCCGGCTGGACCAGGAGGAGGTGAGCCAGGACCATAAACCTGGGGATCTAACAGGCACCAAAGCCGAGCTGGCCCAGGCTGCAGGGCTGCCATCATCTGTTCAGGGGGCTCAGGGTGACAAGGAACCCAAGGGGGGAAACAGGAAGGGGGATTTGGGGTCACTGTCTCAAATTTGGGATTTGTCCCCAAGGGGATGAGAAGAGATGCATGGGGTTTTTCCACGGTCTTCCATGGGCAGGTGCAGGCAAGACTGCAGAGTAAGAGGCAATGCTGGCACAGAGCCCTCAAGTGAGATATGAGGGTCTCAGAGGGCAGGTGCCCTCCTGCCATTGCCCACCACAGGCCACGCCTGGGCCTCTCCATGAGAGGTGCCAAAACTGGAGCCCTGTGTGTCAAGTATCTCAGGGTTCAGAACATTGCGATCCCCTCCAGGAGGCAGAAGGTTCTGGCAGAGCCATGGACTGCCCTGCAGCCCCACTGGCACGGTGAGGGGTGAGGGACTCACTCTCCCCTCCTCTCGCCCTCCTCCAGGCCCTGGCAGTCAGCGACCACTACCCGGTCGAGGTGAAGCTCACAGCCTGAGCTCCTCCTGTAGCTGCAGACCACGATTCCAGCTCCAGCTCCCACCACCACCAACCCCTGTGAAGGCATCCCCTGCAGCCCCATCCATGAGCCTTGTTGCGCCTCGGCTGTTCCTGGAATCTGGTTGGAGAAGGGTGACAGCGGCCGTGCCCAGACCCCCCAGGACACACAGCTCAGGGCAGAGCTCCCCCAGCCCACCATGAACCAGAGCCTGGGGACAGGCCACCAGCCAGGACACTGTGACCACGGGGAACAAAGCATCCATCTCCTACCTCACTGAAGATTTATTGACACATCTCATTTCATGATTAACTGTTGGAGAGGAGGGAGGACATCCAAGGACCGGTGGGCTCAGGCCACAGTGTGTGGAGACCCTCTCCCTGTCCATCCCTCAGGGGGGCTGAGCAGGCTTCCCCTGCTCTCAGGGAAGGCAGCAGTGGTGTCAGGCACTCTACAGGACAAAGGGAAGTGCTGGGGCAGCCATGGGAGCAGTGGCACGCCACCAATTGCTGGCACTGCAGACGGCTTTGCTGTGAAATCCTACAGCCACTGCAGCGTTTCGGAGGGTGACTCGACCTCCCAGGACCTGCCCCAAGGCACTTGGATTCTCAGCTCTTCTTCTTCTTCAGCATCTCCATGTACATGCGAAGTGACTTCTGGATGGACTCTTTTGAGATGAAGTTGATGAAGTTCTTGATGTCTTCCTCCCGGTGAGCGACCAGGTGGTCCAGCACTGCCTTCCTCATCATGGACTTGGTGAGCTGGCGGGCATGGTCTGTGGAGAGGACAGTGAGGATGAGGAGCACGCCCTGTCCTCAGCCCTGACCAGCTCCCAGCCACTGCCACCACCACATGCAGGTGCAAAGGAAAGGGATCCCACAGCAAAGGGTTCCTTGAACCAGCAGGGAAAGGTGAAGGAAAATCTCACTGTCTGGAAGCTGAACTGGATAAATTCTCATACAATAAATTATGACTGTACTGCTCAGTGAGGAAATGACTTATTTACTGGCACAGATGAAGTGCATTTCCTCCTCTTTGTGCCCTCCAGAGCCCAGCCTCTTCCCAACACCCCCTCCCAATACACACCCCCAGGCTCAGGACAGCAGTAACCAAACAAAATTCCTTGTTATTTGAAACTGCTCTGGCTCTAAGCTCCCCCAAACCAACCCCTTCAACCTGTGGCAAGACAGTCTGTTCCTCCCAAACACATTGTAAAAGAAGCCAGCAGCACTGTCCCCTCGAGCTCATCCCTGGGCCTGTGCCATTCCACATGGATACCTGGATGCTGCTGGAGCTGACTGAGGCCTCAAGCACCTCACACACACAGCCAGATGCAGTGATGTGGCAGCACATTTGTGCAACAAATGTTTTAAGCACACCCTCAGTTTAGTTCAGCTGTGATGGTGAAATGAGGACTGACCCCCCCAGCACACTGGGAACCCCAAATTGCTCCAGTGCCTGTGTGCTACAGACACCTCCTCCTGCACAGACTCCTGGCTCTGATTCAGGGGGCAGGTCTGCACAGTGCCTCCTACAAGTCAGGGGAGGGCACAGCTGAGACATGCTGAGGGGTGAGGTGTCACTCTGCCACCAGGACAGCAGGGGACAGAGGTGGTCTGGGATGGGACAGCTCAGATCTGGCAGAGAGCCCTCTCCCAGCCCAGGAACCATGTGCTGCAGTCATGGAGCAGCCCAAACACACAGGATGTCTGTGCCGTGTGTCTGTCCTCACACCCCCATCACTGCCATCCCCAGCTCAGCAGAGTGCCAAGAGTTGATCCAGACAATGAAAGCAGACTGGCAGTCATCCAGTTGCTCTCACCCAGCCTGTTCCCTCAATTCCATGGCAGCTTTTCTGGGCTAACACCTCCACTGACAGACACATTCAGTTTGTATCTGGAACTCAGGCACCTCCAGATTGACTCAGCAGGGCTGGCAGGGCGAGCTGAGCTGGAGCCACGTGCCCTGCACACCCAGCTTCCAGGCTGTCCAAGGCTTCCAGGACTGCTGTGCTCAGCTCTCCCACTTCCCAGCCATCCACACCTTCCCTTTCAGTGGAAACTGTTACATAGCTCCCAGGTACCAGCCCTGGCATCTGTCCTTCCCACTCAGATCAGATCCCTTCCTCCCCTGCCAGAGGTTTACCAGGAAGGGCCAGCCACCGTGCCATGATGGCCGAAGCTTTTTCCAGGAGCTTCTCCTCTGGCACCAGTTCATCCACAAGGCCAAGCTTGAGTGCCTCGGGTGCAGGGTGGAGGGAGCCCAGCTGGAGGGAGCGCTCAGCGATCCGGTGTCCCACAACATTCACAAACGTGTCCTTAAACCTGGAGAAGATGGGAGGGAAAGCCACAGTGAGGGAAAGGAACACCCAGGGGCAGCTCACCCAGCCACTGGAGCTGAGAGCACCCTGGTCCCACTCCCCAGGCTCGGGGCTCTGAACAGCAGCTGCAGGCTCAGCCACACCAAGAAAATCATGTGAGAAGAGCCACTTTTGGCAGTACCCCAACAGAGTTCACTCTCCCCTCCACGAGAGCTCCTCACTGGCCCCTCAATGCACAGGTCCCAGCTGTACCCATTTGCTGTGACATGGGCAAACTTGGTGTGAAAGCTCCTTTCCAACAGTGCATTTACATGCTCTGAGGGCAACCAAGGGCCTCAGTATGTTACTGTCCCTACGCTTTCAGAGATCTCCACACCAAAGGATTTTGCAGGTACACACCATGTACCCTGAGAAAAGCATATTCCCAGACTGAGCCTGACCAGTGAGAACCCCCACCACCAGTTTCAGAGTTGACTGCAGGGTCAGAACTGAGGTCCTTGCTGGTTAAGGACATGAGGACTTTCTGCAACCTGAAAGCTTTTCAGATACCTGCAGGATAGGACAGAAATGAGGTACCATCTCCTGCAGCTGCATCTACCTGATCACTGACACACAACCTACACCTCCATGACCTGTTAAACTGCCTAATTAACTCCTTGAAGACGAATTCTTTTTAGAGACCTACACATGGCCCTAGAAGCAGGAGGCACTGGCCTACCAGAAGGGAGCCACAATGCCCAGCTGGGCTTCGTTCAGGCCGATGCTGAATTTGGGGTTCTCTGCCATGATCCTGTAGTCACACGACAGGGCGATGAGGCAGCCTCCTGCTGGGCTGGACCCCTGGCAGACAGAAGGATGGAGTGAGTCTAGGACATGGTTACAAATATCCCCCAGCTTCACTGATCCCTCCAGAGTAGGGATGACACGGGGTGACAGAGCAGATGTCGCCCAAATTTCTGATCATCTGATCCGAAACAGCCCTAAGGAAGATCTCTGAGAGGTTATCAGGGTTTCATTGAATCACAGAATGGTTTGAGTTGGAAGGGACCTTAAAGCCAATCTCGTTCCAACCCCCCTGCCATGGGCAGGGACACAACCACTAGACCAGGGTGCTCAGAGCTCCATCCAACCTGGCCTTGGACACTTCCAGGGATGGGGTAGCCCAAACTTCTCTGAGCAACCTGTGCCAGGGCCTCACCACCCTCCCAGGGGAGGATTCCCTTCCATTTGTGACCATCTTTGCCATGGCTTGGTGCTGCTCAGCCCTGCTCAGGATGCCCGTGGGAAGACCCAGCTGCCTTCAAAGACGGGCTGTGGACAGACACCACCGGGAGCTGCCAGGGCAGCACCGCACTGGAAAATGAAAAGAAGACACCAAACATGTAACGACCCATCCACGGACATCGAGATTCCAACAGCACTTCCCTGTTGGCCAAGAACCACAGCTGGAGGAGCAAAACCTGGTGGAAGTGCTGAAATGCTGCTACACCCCAGCAGTGTCTGCAGCTCACACGGTGCCTGCAGCATCCCACGTTTCCGTACCTTCCCACAACCCCACATGCTGACAGACACGAATTTCGCCCAAACACCCCAACAAACACATTATTTGGATTTGTTTCAGCCTGATTTTTCGGCTGTCCCTGCCCACACGGTGCAAACAAGCCACAGCAGGTGAGAGGTGACAAGGGAGGTGGGTCCAAAGGACATACATTGATCGCAGCGACCGTGACCATGTTGGAGCCGTAGAGCCGCAGCCACAGCTCCTGCACAGCTCTCCAGAACTCTCCATAGTGCTCCATGTTCTTCCCACACATTTCCATGATGTCCAGGCCAGAGGAGAATATTTTGGGGATAGTCTGGAGTCAGGAAAATACAGATATCACTTAGAGTCACCGTCATCCTTTAGCCCTCAGCGTGGCAGCCTCAGGAAAGTGATAATTAGATGCGATATGAGGGTCTTTTGGGGTTCTGAAAATATCTCCCCAGTGCTCCCACAGCCTGGATCATCCCACCACCATGGCCTGCAGTGCTGGGACTCTGCCTGTAGCATGATTTCTCATTGTCAGGGTCCCTGTGTGGGTACAATCAGCCACAAAGCACAAAACCTGCCCTGTACCATTCCCAGGCACCACCTTATCCCCGCACCATGCCTGAAAATAAACACTGGCATCTCCTCCAGGAGATCTCACGGGACATATCAGGTTGGCAGACAAGCAGATTTGATTTGCATGACAAATGACAACACTTGGCCGTTGTTGTTCTGCCAGAAAAAGGCACAGAAGGAAGATCACAGCCCTTACAAAAACCAATCAAAGCCGCCTCCAGGCCCTCCCATCCCAGAGACCAGTGACCCAAGAGACCAAACATGAGCAAGGGACAACACCTACAGATGTAATGATCACACCCCGGCAGGCACGGTCATTCTCCAGCTTCTCCAGGCTTATGGAAAACTCAGTGAGGAAGTCCAGGCTCAGGCTGTTCACTGGGGGGCTCTTGAACTTCATCATGGCAACACCTGTGCCAGAGCAAACACAGAGATATCAGACTCCCCACCACAGCAGCACACACTGCCCTGCCCAGGGCAGCTTCACCTGCCTCCCTGTTTCCCACTCCTGGCTCTTTAAAAAGCTCCCAGAGCTGCAGGGCCAAGGGCAAGGTCCTGCTTTTGCCCAGTGAGCCA